CAAACGTCCCGGCGAGCGCCCTGTTTGTCTGTATATATAAACAGAACCACGCGCGCGCTTCGCGCGCGCTTAGGTTCTGTCGAGTCACAGACCCAGGAATCGTTGCGAGAAGAAATTGGTGACGCGAAGCGTCTTGGGGGCGTCCTTGGACGTCTGGGGTCTCCTGGGGCCTCTTGAGGGGCCTCCTTGGGGCCTTCTTGGGCTCCATCTGGAAGCCAAGATGGATGCAACAAGAGGGTGCTTGGGCTCTCCGTGAGCTATCCTGTGGTTTTCATTCCCCTGGAGAGGAGAAGGAGGAGGAGGAGGAGGAGGAGGAGGAGGAGGAGAAGGAGGAGGAGGAGGAAGATGCAGAGGAGGGAGGAGGAGGAAGGAGAGGAGATGTTGGGGCGCTCTTGGGGCCCTCTTGGGCTCTCTTGGGGCTCGTCGGGGCCCTCGTGGGGCCACCTTGGGCTCCTCTCGGAGCTCCAAGAGGAGCCCACAGAGGGGCCCAACATCGGTCACGCGAGAGCTCTTCGCGTGACCGATGTTGGGGCCCTCTTGGGGCCCTATTGGGCCTCCTTGGGCCCTCTTGGGGTCTCGACGGGGCCCTCGTGGGGCCATCTTGGGCTCCTCTCGGAGCACCAAGAGGAGCCCAAAGAGGGGGCCCAACATCGGTCACGCGAGAGCTCTTCCGCGTGACCGATGTTGGGGCCATCTTGGGGTTCCTTGGGCCTCCTTGGGCCCACGTGGGGCTCCCTCGGGGCCCTCGTGGGGCCATCTTGGGCCCCTCTTGGAGCTCCAAGAGGAGCCCAAAGAGGGGCTCAACATCGGTCACGCGAGGGCTCTTCCGCGTGACCTATGCTGGGGCTCTCTTGGGTCCCTCTTGGGCCTGCTTGGGTCCTCTTGGGGTCTCGTCGGGGCCCTCGTGGGGCCATCTTTGGCTCCTCTCGGAGCTCCAAGAGGAGCCCACAGAGGGGCCCAACATCGGTCACGCGAGAGCTCTTCCGCGTGACCGATGTTGGGGCTCTCTTGGGGCTCTCTTGGGTCCCTCTTGGGCCTCCTTGGGCCCACGTGGGGTTCCCTCTGGGCCCCCTCTTGGGCCCGTCTTGGGGCCCTCTTGGGCCATCTTGGGCGCCTCTTGGGCCGTCTTGGGGCCCTCTTGGGCTGTCCTGGGGCCCTCTTGGAAGCTTCTTGGGCCGTCTTGGGGCGGTCTTGGGCGCCTCTTGGGCCGTCCTGTAACGTCGGAAAGCCCAAAAGACAACTTTGTTGAAAATGTACGTTTTACGAAGGGAATGGGCCAATTTTTGCGTCTAGGGGCCCTCTTGGGACGCATGTTGGAGGCTTCTTGGGGCCTCTTGGGGGCGTCCTTGGACGTCTGGGGTCTCCTGGGGCCTCTTGAGGGGCCTCCTGGGGGCCTCCTGGCGGCCTCTTGGGGCGGAAGGCTCGAGCTTGCGGTTCGTGGTCCCCCTCTGGGCCCCCTCTTGGGCCCGTCTTGGGGCCCTCTTGGGCCATCTTGGGCGCCTCTTGGGCCGTCTTGGGGCCCTCTTGGGCTGTCCTGGGGCCCTCTGGGAAACTTCTTGGGCGGTCTTGGGGCGGTCTTGGGCGCCTCTTGGGCCGTCCTGTAACGTCGGAAAGCCCAAAAGGCGACTTTGTTAAAAATGTACGTTTTACGAAGGGAATGGGCCAATTCTTGCGTCTAGGGGCCCTCTTGGGACGCATGTTGGAGGCTTCTTGGAGCCTCTTGGGGGCGTCCTTGGACGTCTGGGGTCTCCTGGGGCCTCTTGAGGGGCCTCCTGGGGGCCTCCTGGCGGCCTCTTGGGGCGGAAGGCTCGAGCTTGCGGTTCGTGGTCCCCCTCTGGGCCCCCTCTTGGGCCCGTCTTGGGGCCCTCTTGGGCCATCTTGGGCGCCTCTTGGGCCGTCTTGGGGCCCTCTTGGGCTGTCCTGGGGCCCTCTTGGGAGCTTCTTGGGCCGTCTTGGGGCGGTCTTGGGCGCCTCTTGGGCCGTCCTGTAATGTCGGAAAGCCCAAAAGGCAACTTTGTGAAAAATGTACGTTTTACGAAGGGAATGGGCCAATTTTTGCGTCTAGGGGCCCTCTTGGGACGCATGTTGGAGGCTTCTTGGGGCGTCTTGGGGGGCGTCCTTGGACGTCTGGAGGCCATCTTCAGCATCTCGGAGCCCTCTTGGAGGCCTCTTGGAAGTTTCTTGGGCCGTCTTGGGCGTTTCTGGGGCCGTCTTGTCTGACCGGGGAGGCCTCCGGCAAGCCCCGACGAGCCTCCGGGGCCCCCGGGGTGCACATTTGTGGTCGAGGTCCCGGCCCCGGGCCCCCGGACCCGGTGCGCCGTTATATGTATATACATATGAGAGAGAGGGGGGAGAGAGAGAGAGAGAAAGAAAGAAAGAAAGAAAGAAAGGAAGCAGCAGAGAGAGAGAGAGAGAGAGAGACAAAGATGGAACGTGCTCTGTCGTGCGGCCGACCGGGCCTGGCATGGGATGGCTGCATTGCCGAGGGATGGCAGTCTTCACGTCCCAGTTCCCGCACGTCACAAACAGGAACGAATCGGGCCTCAGCTCCTCCGACTCTTTCAATCCTGGCGCGAGGGCAGCGACGACAGGAAAACAGCAAAGGGCAGGGATGGACGGAGGAAGGGAATACGGAGGTAGGGGTAAGGATAGGGAAGAAGAAGGAGGAGCGAAAAGAGTAAGGAGAGGAAACAGGCATGGACGAGAGGAGGCGTGAGTATAAAGGGGGAGGAGGGCTCATCCTGTTGCTTTTTCTGTGGCTCTGTTCTCCGCTCAACGACTCCCTTGTTCTGGTCCCCCTCCTCCTGCTCGTCCTCCCCTCGCAAATCCCCATTGACTCTGTTGCTCGGCCCTCAGCCCCGTCATCCCCACCTATCGGGGCCGTGATCGATGATGCGGCTGAGGGGCTGTCCTCTTGCCTTTTGGCACTCTGGCTGCCTTCCTGTTCCTAACCTACGTCCTGCTAATTTCTCTCGTGCTCCATCCTCCTCCCTCCACGTTATCCCTTCGCTCCTCCCTCCCTTGCCCTGATTAGTGGCTGTGCCAACTGGACGGGTCATGAATGGCCCTGCCTCACAGTACCTTCGGACCTGGGTACTGGCATGGACCACCTGATTTGGCACGAAGGATCGATGTAATCGCGTCAACGCGAAATAAAGGTAAGGAACGAACCTGTCGAAGGCCATTATTGGTCCATTATTAGGCAATTAGCGGGGCATTGGCGGGCCATTAGTGGGGAATGTGTAAGCCATTAGTGGGGAGAGGAACAATTGCGGGGCATTTCATTGGCATTCCCTTGCGGGGCATTCCATTGCGAGAACATCAAGCTGCATCCGCGGCGGGCCCGTTGTGCACGTAGTGTGTCTTGAAATCGCTGCCTGCGGCAGGCTTTCTCAAATTCGACTCAGCACGATTCAGTGTGCACACGCACGCGTGTGCCGACTGGCTGTTTCCCCAATCGGTGCGTGTGCTGAAGGGATCCTAGAGGAGATTGAAAAGTAGGCGGATGTACGGTGCTGATTTCGGTGGGCGGCTGGGATCCCCGGTGTTCGGTTATAGGGTTCCTGGCAATGCCACGTTTCGGTATCTAGGCGGTCATATTCCCGGCGGTTCCCGGGTTCCCTGTTCTGGGGATTCAGGCAGTGTCAGCTTCCTGGGTTCTGGAACCCTTGGTTGTGGCCAACTGCCTCAGGCCAAATCATAGGTGCTCGCATGTCTCTGTTTTCCAACCATCCTTGGTTGGGTATTCATTTTGAGTAGAGCATTGTGGTCTCCACCTTCTCCTCCCGCCTCCCTCCTTCTCTCCGTCTCTGTCTCTCTCTCTCTCTCTCACTCTCTCCTCTTGTTTCGATCCTCTCTCGTACTGGCCTCCGACTTCACCATGCCTGGGGGCTGCGATCTGCGAAACTGTCGCCACTTTCGAGGGCCGCTGGAGGGGCCGGCACAATGACGTCACACCCGAGGGGCTGCGATCTGTGAGAGTTTCGCCACTTTCGAGGGCTGCTGGGAGGGCCAGCACGGCGTCGTCCTACCCAGATTCAAACTCGACCTTACCATCCCTGCGGGGCTGCGATCTGCGACACGGTCGCCACGTTCGAGGGCTGATGGGGGGGCCAGCACAGTGATGTCCCACCCAGCTTCAAAGTAGACCTCGCCATCCCTGGGGGGGCTGCGATCTACGAGACCGTCGCCACTTTCGAGGGCTGCCGGGGGGGCGGGCACCACATCGATGTCCTATCCAGATTCAAACTCGACCTCGCCATCCCTGGGGGGCTGCGATCTGCGAAACTGTCGCCACTTTCGAGGGCTACTGGGAGGGCCAGCACAATGACGTCCCACCCAGATTCAAGTTTGACCTCGGGGGCTGCGATCTGCCAAACGGTCGCCACCTTCGAGGGCTGCCGGGAGAGGCCAGCACAGCGACGTCCTACCCAGATTCAAACTCGACCTCGCCATCCGTTGGGGAGCTGCGATCTGCGAAACGGTCGCCACGTCCGAGGGCTGCTGGGGGGGGGGGCAACACAGTGACGTCCTACCCAGACTCAAGTGGGCTGCTGGGGGGGGGCAACATAGTGACGTCCCACCCGTATTCAAATTTTACCTCGCCATCCCTGGGGAGCTACAGTCTGGGAAACTGTCACCATTTTCAAGGACTGCTGGGGGGGCAACACAGTGGGGGCTCCACACAGACTCAAATTAGACCTCGCCATCCCTGGGCGGCTGCGATCTGCGAAACTGCTGCCACTTTCGAGGGCTGCTGGTGGGGGGGGACAGCACAATGGGGGGCCCACCCAAACTCAAATTACACCTCGCCATCCTTTGGGGGTTGCCACCTGCGAACCCGTCGCCATTTTCAAGAGTTGCTGGTGGGGGGCAGCACAGTGGAACCCCAAACTAGCATCAAACTAGACCTCGCCATCCCTGGGGGAGGGCTGCGATCTGGGAAACTGTCGCCAATTGCGCGGGCTGCTTGGAGGGACAACACATCGACGTCCTACCCAGATTCAAATTGTACCTTGCCGTCCCTGGGGGGCTGCGACCTGCGAAACGGTCGCTACTTGCGAAGGCGGCTGGGAGGGCAGCGCAATGATGGCCCAACCAAGCTCAAACTACACCTCGCCATCCCTGGTGGGCTGCGATCTACGAGACCGTCGCCACTTTCGAGGGCTGCCGGGGGGAGGGCAGCACGGTGACGCCCTACACAAATCCAATTTAGACCTCGCCATCCCTGGGGGGCTGCGATCTGCCAAACGGTCGCCACGTTCGAGGCCTGCTGGGGGGGGCAACAGAGCGACGTCCAAGCCGTATTCAAATTAAACCTCGCCATTCCTGGGGGGCTGCGATCTGCGGAACTGTAGCCACTTTTGAGGGCTGCTGGGGGACCAGCACAATGACGTTCCACCCAGATTCAAGTTTGACCTCACCATCCCTGCGGGGCTGCGATCTGCGAAACGGTCGCCACGTGAGAGGGATGCTGGGAGCGACCAGCACAGTGACGTCCTACCCAGATTCAAACTCGACCTCGCCGTCCCTGGGGGGCTGCGACCTGCGAAACGGTCGCCACGTTCGAAGGCGGCTGGAGGGGCAGCGCAATGGTTGCCCCAACCAAACTCAAACTACACCTCGCCATCCCTGGTGGGCTGCGATCTACGAGACCGTCGTCACTTTCGAGGGCCGCTGGGAGGGGGCAGCACGGTGACGCCCTACTCAGATTCAATTTAGACCTCGCCATCCCTGCGGGGCTGTGATCTGCGAAACTGTAGCCACTTTCGAGGGCTTCTGGGGGAGGCAGCACAGTGGGGGCCCCACCCAGAGTCAGATTGGACCTCGCCATCCCTGGTGGGCTGCCGGCCCCCTTGTGGAGCCACCAGGCTGTAGGCCGAAGCTTCGCAGTGTCCTGTACCAGTTGCAGCTTCCAGTTTCCACTGTTACAGTTCTGCTTCTTGCTGCTTACTGTTCCTTGTTGATTTCTTGCTGCTGACTGTTCCTTGTTGATGGACAGCGCGAGGGGGGGAGGCCCAATACTGGCATTTCTACCACGCCCTGAGCGTGTTGTCTGAATTGCGGGGGTAGGTAAAAATTGACACCCCTCACGCAGATCGGCGGGGTCAAGGTGCAAGAACACATGGATTTGCCACATGTCTGACATTCGGTGGCACCCCACACACAGATCGGTGGGGTCAGGGTCCGAAAACACATGGGATTTGCCACAGTTCTGAAATTTGCTGGCACCCCTCACGCAGATCGGCGGGGTCAGGGTCCAAAAACACATGGGATTTGCCACATTTCTAAAATTCGGCGGCAGCCCTCATGCAGATCGGCAGGGTCAGGGTCCAAAAACACAAGGGATTTTGCCACATTTCTGAAATCCGGCGGCACCCCTCATGCAGATCCGTAGGGTCAAGGTCCAAAAACAAAAGAGATTTGCCACGTTTCTGAAATTCGGCGGCACCCGTGACGCGGATCCGTAAGGTCAGGGTCGAAAAACAAAAAGTTTCCGACTCTGCTTCACGGCGGCGCCCAGACCTCATGATTTAGCTTTGGCATCTCCCATTTTCCGAGACACGGGGCCGGCGGAATGGGGCGAGGCCCTTACGGATTAATCCTCGCTGTCCCTGGGGGGCTGCGGTCTGCGAGACTGTCGCCACTTTCGATGGCGGCTGATGGTGGGGGCGGTGTGCAGCACACTTAGGCCCCACGCTGATTTAGACTAGACCTCGCCATCCCTGGGGGGCTGCGCTGTGCGAAACTGTCGCCACTTTCGTGGGCTGGTTGGCCTCCGTAGGCCCAACTAATCACCTCTAACTATGAAGCCCTTGTCCCTTGCTCGGTGTCCTGCAAGTCGCGCAGTTTGCGAGCCTCCCGATTGCTGTCTGCAAAAACCTAATCCTCCCTGTCGCCTTATCACACCCAGCTATTACGGCCATGCGTTGCGCAAAGGTTGGGTAAGTGGTCAGGGTAATTGATCTCGTACGAGCCCAACTGATGAATTTTCAACTGCCTTGTGGCAAGCACTGCTGCCTCGCCAACACGGCAAACAGGGTGGCAGCTATTCGAATGGTGATGACGACGACAGCAAAGACGACAACGACGACGATGATGATGATGAGCAAAACGACGAGAATGATGATGGTGGTGACAATGAAGATGCTGCTGATGATGCTGGGCAATAGGAGGAATGAACCCACCCTGCCGGCGTGTGTGAGAGGCTTTTCCGTTTCAGTCGTCGTCTCCGACGCCCCCCCTCACGCGTTCCAGCCAAGGAGAAACCCAAGAACGTTGCAATCGAGTCGACAATGGTCGAAGTGAAGCTCGTTCCCTTTGATCCCTCCCCCACCGCAAAAGAGTTGGAGCTGGGGGGCCCCGAAGGGGGTTCCGGGGGGTCCCGCGGGGGGGGGGGGGGCGGGGATCGTGACCCCCACTGCGGGGAAGCACACCTCCCTGGGAGAAGCGTTCGGCTCCAGAGCCTTCGGGGTCGGCGGCACCAGTCGCAAGACCTTC